TTCTATTTTTGCCTGGCAAATATTCCTACTGTTTTCATTCTTAATTATTAATTAGCACTAAATAAATAGAACTAATTATTAATTAGCACGAGGCTGTTTGTATCCAGCTGGAGGGCTCCTTGGTTTTTCTCTCTTCCAAATTTGCCTTAGAAGCAAATCAGAAACGATGGTGTGTAGCTCGCTCAAAGTCACTTATAGCAAGCCACTGAGAGGTCTGATGGGATCGTCAGCTAGCAAGGAGCAGCAAGATTCCTTAGGGCCAGCGGAGGATCTGGATCAGAAGGTGTTTCATGGCACAGCACTGTATTTTACCAGCTATTTTTTCCCCTTTCCTAATCTGTGAAGCCTGGGAACGGGGGAGAAACTACCAAAAATCATGTGCTTTCCCCAACTGTCACCTGTAATTCCATGTCAAGCTCGCTCTGCGCTCTGGGTTGTGGTGGCATTCCCTTACATGTTCGTGGCCTCATCAAACTGTTCCTATGGCTCTACAGTGAGACATAAATTCAGGCTTGGAGATTTCAAAGTCATGTTGAACCACATGGAAATGATTCTCAGAGCTACAGCTATAAAAATAATTATATTGCTGGGGGGAAAGAGTGACAAGAAATGTCCCCAAAAGAGATTTCAGCAGTGGTTACAGGATCTGTCCCAGCTCTGTAAGAGGCTGCTGTGATCTCCAAGGCTCATTTATCACTGCTACATATAACTCTATGAAATATGTCTCAAAAAGCACCGAAGGAAGGAATGTGAAGGGAGGTTGTGAAGGAGAAGCACTGCAGTCTTCCCCTTTTAGAGGATGCTTTGTGCGCTCTTAAAATTAGAGCTGCTCTGCTCAGATGACTGGTGTGAGGATGACTAATTTGGAGACAAATTAGGTGTACTTAGCTGAAATGTATGCCCTGATTGTTCCCCTAATGACCCTTCAACGCACATCTCTCCCGATAGTGCTTTTACCGCAAGCCTGACGCTGGCAGATTAAGTAGTAACATGCTTTTGCCTCTCTTCCAAGCGGTCCTTCGGTTCTGATCCCACGTTTTCTCTCCACCATGTGTATCTCTAACTCTTTATAATCGGTAATTAGTTTCTATTCATCTAACGCATGGCAGATTTGTCTTTTGCATGTCTCTTTCTCCGGCGCATTTTCCTTACACCCTCTCTTTCAAAGGTCCCCGAGCCCGAGTGTTTTCTGGCTGACTGCAATATATTTGGTGTCTGCTGTGGAACAGATTTATTCTTTCCCAAGAAAAGACACAAAAGTAAACAGAAGATCCAAAACCGCATTTTTCCTGTGCTTTTAAATGCACTAAGATTACCCCCACCACCACCTCTGCTACAAGCCTATTAATGTAAATACCAAACTTTACAATCCTTCCTGTCAAGGAAACATATTTACATTTTTCTAAGGATGCGTATGAAAAAAATAGGGCTTTGGGGACAAAAAGGGCTTAGTTTCAGTGTCATAACACCCTCAGTTAACTGCACTGCTTTCATATACCATAGAATTAGGTTGTTCTCAGGGCCAGCAAAGATAACGTCTGCTGCTTGAAGGACAAAGTGAAATAAGATGATAGTGTTTTATACTGGAGACAGCCCTGGAAAGGCAATGGTAAAGGGCTGTGTATCAAATGTACACGTTTTATGAGGCTTCCCCAGCACAAAAAAAAAGATCAGAAAGGTGTTATTAGTGCCACTGCCAGCCCAAGGGAGGCAAAGAACTCATCCCAAGCTATATTGCAGAGAGTGGGAAGTGGGTTGCTGGCAGGCTGGTTTTACTAGCACGGGGTTTAGGGCTGTATTGTCTTTTACACTTCGGTTCTGGCATCGCTGTTGGACAGGATTTTTCCTACTAAATAGAAAAACAGGCAATACTTTCTTTACTCTAGACTGTGAAATCCCAAAATCACGAGTATCTTGAGTGTTTTGAAGGAAAAAGAGAAAGGTGGCTGCAAAGGGAAGGGGCACAGGTGCTGGTGATGAGGATATGAAGATTTTGGGGAGGAAGGCTCAGCTTGTACCCAGCTGAAACACCCTATTGAACTCATTGAAGTACAAAGCTCTGCTTGTTCGTCTTGAAACTACTGGAGTAAGTTGTCTGTAATTGCATGGACCAGAACAGGAAAACCTCTCATGGCCAGAGGAACGAACAGCAGTGACCTGCTGGCATTTGGAGAAGCCAGGTGGCATTTCACCAATTCCCAAGGCTCTGATTTTTAGACCAAAACCTGCTCTGATTTTGTTGCAGGTGAAGGGTTATGACTGTTCCTGCAAGGAGAAAAACTTTCCTGCTTTATCTCTCCCCAGAAAGGGAGGGCGGCTGCAGCGATCCAGTCTGAACGGTGTTCACCTCTTTTTGCTCACCCAATCTTTGCAGTGCTGGCTACTTCCTAGGAAAGGCAGGAGCTGATCCCAAATTCAAATGGTTATTTCTTAAGAGATTATATATATATATATATTATATATATATATTAATCACCAAGATTATACAGGCAGCTCCCACTATGCATAAAAACTCCTCTGGCCGGAACAGACCCATCTGTAAGTCCGTGTTGTGCCATGCAGCTATATTTGCCCCTTTTAAAGGGTTTCTTGAGGATCTTGATGTATCTTTAGTTTTTCTTTGCTGGCAGATGTGATTTTTGTTGCCATAAACGATAGAATTTGACACCGCACCACACCAGGCCGTTTGTCAACAGCGTTTTCAACAGTTCAACCGCACGCGTGTGCATGCACACACAGGCACAAGAAAGGAGAAGTGCAGGGGCAAGTTTCTTCTCTAAGACACTCAAACACAAAGCAAAGAGCCACCTCTAGCCACAGGGCTCGATGTCAGGTTATGGCAAGGAGGCTGAATACCGGTTCACGCTGAATTGGTGAAAAAGTGAAGTGAAAAACACGTCGGGATTTGACTCGACATCATGGTTTTCCATGCTGTGCAAAATGTTGCTTGCAATTGCTTTTGGACAGGGGCAACCTGAGCATCGACACCTAAAATCTACCTCATCAGAGTGGTGCTAATAAGTAATTCATTTGTCAGTGATTTTTAAGTATGGTTTAAATAATAAAGCAGATTTTGCTGCTATAAAGCACTGTGATAGAGAATGGCTGCAGATTTGAGAACAGTTTTAAAACCATCACTGGCTAATGGCAAGCACATCATTTGGGGAAACAACAGAATAAATGCTTTGTTCCACCCCAGCACTTTACTATTCAGCCAATCTAAACTGCTGAAGAAATATGTGTTTGGGACATTTTACATCTGTTTTTGACAAGAAGCCTGGGTTTTGGCCTGTGTGGTGGGGGCTTCTAATCTATTTGCTGCAGCTTTTCTAGCCAGATTAGCATGGGAAAAAGCACCCTGTTTTATAAACGGAGGGATGATCCTTTGAAAGAGCAGCTCGACTTCGGCCTTTTGCGGTTGAAATGAAGGCACAGCATGCAAAAAGTAGCAGCATAATGTAACGTCCATAAAACACACACCAGCAGCATCACCTATTAAACAATGTTAAACAACAGGCAGCTTGTGAAACGGGCAGAGTAACTGATTTGTGAACAGCCTAACGTTCGGGGTGTTACTTCTTCCATAGAACAGTGTGTGGACACCTTAATTACAGCACTGAAGTCCAAACTGTTTAAGGATGCGAGTGAAACGTTTACTTGGAAGTGGTTTCTAATAGGATTTTAAGTTTCTGTGTTACACCATTAGTAAGTCCCAGTTGAAAACTCTCTGGCTATTTTCAAACAAGGTGCTGCAGTTGCCCCACGGTTGGGTTTTAACTTAAATGGGCCGTTTATTGCTGCTAAAACAAAGATGGATTTGCGCCTTTAAAAGAGCCCGGCCAATGGGCTGGGATGAACTCGATTTTCACCTTTAAGTAGCCGATTCTCTGCATGATGAAATTAATTCACTTTACATCACGCGCGGCTTGATGGGAGGGCTGCAAATTTCTCTCTTGGAGCTTCGTGAAATGGATTCATGGACTCTGCTTTATGTAGCAAGCCCCAGAGTGACCAGCCGCATGCAAACTCTGTCTGACACAACACAGAGCTGCTCAGCTTAATTGGCTTGAGATGAGGGTGTTATTAAAGGTCTTTTCTTTGCCTTTCTTGCTGTTTATTCCACCCTCCCCAAACATTACAAAGGCAACTTAAGAGGAAGTAGTTTTCTGCTAACGGAGAACTATGAGGAAGAGTTCAGTGTTAAGAGTAAATAAGACACTATCTCTAACAGCAGCCTTTGCTTTACTGGTACTTTGGGGAAGGGAAACTGAAGAAATAGGAAAATTTGGCTAAGTTTCTTCTATCTTTGTTTGCTTTTTACTGTGTGTGTAGGGGGGGGAAGGGGCACAGCCTGGGCTTGCAGCCGACATCTGCTGCCTGTTTCTTTTAGAAGAAACACAACCTGGGCTGAACTTGTCACTGAACCCCACTTACGTTCTGCAGACCCCCCAGCAGGGAGAGGATGCGGCTGCCCCAGGACTGCTGCCTTGGCACTGGGGTTTTTGGGGCTGGGGTGGCAGCTGTTTCAGATCCCGCTGTCAGCCTGTTGTACTGATTGCCTTTTCCTCTCTTAAAACCCTTCCCCGAAGCAGCGCTTTCTGGCAAATCTCATGCAGCAGCACTTAACACCCCCCCCCCCCCCAATTCCTCATCATCTAGCTCTCTCTCTGGTCCCCCATTCCTGCAGAGTAGAATCATGCAGATTTCTATTCTTATTTCTTTTTTTAAATGGGGTATATCTCATTTTTGCATGAATGGAAGTTCCTTGTAGTTTGAATTATTGCAGGCACAGGGGAGCAAAAGGGAGCCAAGCACAGTCTATCTCACCTCCAGGTCTGTGGCCCCCAATCCCTTGCCCAGCAGCATCCCCACTCCCTACCAAGTTGTGCCACTTCTCCACCAATCCCTGCAGTAAAGCCGGGCTGCTCAGGGAGCCACGGGCAACCCCATCCCATGATGAACGCGGAGCATCATTCAGGAGAAGAGAAATCAGTACCTACCCTTTCGGCAGCTGGGCTTGCCTGACCCAGGCGGTGGCTAGTGGGAGGCCGACATGGACCACGCTCCTTCCATCCTCCATACGGAGAAGGCATAACTCAGCCTCTCGTGAGCCACGTAACTACAGCTCGTCATCTTACTGTCCATCTCGTCGCTCTGTAGCACCTGGTAGAGGAAGTCTATATACCGTGCTGCCAGCTTGAGGGTCTGGATTTTACTGAGTTTGTCAGAGGGCAAAGTGGGGATGATTTTCCTCAAGGCGGCAAAAGCTTCATTGAGCGACTGAGTCCTCTGCCTCTCTCTGACATTAGCCAGGATCCTCTGGCTCTGCAGTTCCTCATAAGACTGGGAGCTGGGGCTGGACTTTTTCCCCCTCTTCCCTGGGTTAGGGCTGCCATCTTCGCTGGACTTCTTACTGTATCTTCTCTTCCTGCCAAATCTCTTTGGCTGTCTTTCCAGCTCCTCTTCACTGGTCCCCAAGCTATCCACAGGGGAAACAGGAGAACTGGAGCTTTCTTCCATGCTTTCTGCAAGAAGGGGAGGGGAAGAGCCTTTCCCCCCCTCCTTTATGTTATGTGTGTGTGTGTGTGTCTTAAATGTGCTTTAAATTCCTGAGACAGATCCTTTGGAAAAACAGGAGGGCTTTTTTGGTTTTGCTTTTTTTTTTTTTTTGTGCTGACCAAACGTTTTCCAGGTTGCTTGAAGGGTTCTTATTTCAAGGACCAGGGTTGTGCAAAAAAACTTGAGGTCTTGGAGAGAGAGGAAGTTATTCCAACTTTTTGGAAACTTTAGCTGAGCTCAGTTGCTAAATAGTTGTCAGAAGTGAGGGAGGTGCAGGGCTCCCTTCTGATTGGCCGGCCAGGTCAGTGGGAGGAAAGCTTTTTCCCCTGCTAAACTTTCACAGTTTTATGTTACACTTAAATCTTGGGAATGCACCTCGAATAAAAGATAACCGGAGACCACCACCCCCCTCCCCCCATAGGTGCTGGATTTGGGGCAGCCCTTTAGGGTGAAGGCTCTGCCAGGGCGTGTTTTGGGGTGCTGAGCACTTACAGGCTGCGTCTCTGCCCATGGGCTCCATCTCTGTAGCCAGGCTGCCCTGGTACCTTGCCCAAATCAGGGTGTGCAGGGCTTATGAAACCCCATCATGCCCGAGAGGATGCTCTATATTTTGCACCCTTGGTGCTGTGAGGGGGGGTGGGTCTTGCACCCTGCTTCTCAAGAAGGTCTCACCCCAGGTCCCCTGCAGAGATGGGGACCCATGGGGTGACCTCAGTGTGGCAGAAGTCCCCTGGGGCACAATGAGCTGTGGGAAGGGTGGAGCTTTGAGCTCCCTTACTTGTGGGGGAGCACGGAAAGACCCTCCTGGACTAACCCCATGGAGCCCCAAATACAGGTCATTGGGAAAGCAGCTAATAGCTGGCAGTGAACCTGATGGAGAGTACACCATGGCTATACAGCCTGTTTTTCTCCCTGCTTTTTTTCACCTCCTGTCAAACACTACGTAGTACATTTTGGGGAAGCAAGAGTAGAGGTAGATAGGCAGGAGGATGTTCTTTCCTCCGGAATATCTTGCTGTTGAAATCATGGTATCCCAGCACATAAAACTCGTGGTAGCAGCTCCAGGATTTCTGATGCATCAAACAGAAGACAGCAGATCGCTTTTTCCTCTCCATCACACCAAGGGAAAATGCGGGGAAACTCTGCTTGCTTCCGTGGAGCTAAGACAAAGCAAAATCGGTTTTGGACCTCTGATTTCAGTTAGAGCCCAAATTGCAGGAACAGATGCATTCCTGAGCGGCAAAGATCATGTTTTCAATAGGGAGCAGGAAAATGAAATAAAACAATAATAATAAAAATAAGGCAAAAGCAAACTCGTAAAATGTAGATGTTGTATCCGAAGCATTCGTTTGGAGTGGATTTCTTTGCAAAGTTTTCCAGTAGGTATCAACACTCATTAATGGAAAAAATAATGTCTGGTTTGATTGGAAAGTGTTCCTTGGTAGGAGAAGGAATTCTTGGCTCGCCTGGGGCTGACTCCACTCCTGGTAGGTAATGTTTATAGTGGAAAGACTTCCCCAGGCAGCCCCTGGGGAGAGCCTGTGTTTGCTTTCAAAAGGAAAGGTTTTCAGGTGCAGCACAGAAGTCGGAAAGCGAGGCAGTTCTGCAAATAGACTTTTAATCCAATTTAAGACCCTGGCAACTCTGAACGGGTGCCTCTCCTACCCCAAAGCCTGGCTTCCAGAAGGGATTGGGGCTGGCAGCTGGGACCAAGGGTTGGCGACTACTTTGCATCTGCAACCTGGAGGTCCATGAGTACAGGGGTGTGGGATGGCATCTACCAGCGCTATGGACCTGAAGCAGATGCCATCCTTGGCTGGGTTATGGTGGTTTATACTGGAGAAACCTGAGTAACAGGCCCTCGCCTGTCCTCTAGGTGAAATAAACTGCTGTCCTTAGTGGTGCTGATGTGGAGCTGTGGCTCGGAGAACTGAACACCCCTCTTCAGGGATATTTGATTTGTATTTGAGGTACTTGGAAGCCTCCTCTTAGTGCATGAGGTCATTTCCGAGTAGTAAAGGGAGCCATCACCAAAGACCAAAGGGGCATCTCTGCTTTCCAGCTGTAAAGAGTGCTGTTTCCCCAGCAAACAGGATCCTTCTGAATGGCACTGGCTTTTTCGTGTTTATGGGGGTAAGCTGATGTGGATTCGCAAGGATGTGTGCAATAAGGGAGGGCAGTTGCGTCGTGGGGATGAGCACCAGGAATATGCTGCCAAAGTTGCTATCTATGTCTGCAAAAAGCTGCTTGGGGAGGGAGCAGGGCAGTGTTTTGGGCTGTTTGAGAGCACCAGGAGCAAAGGAGGAGACCTGAGCTTGCAAGAGAAGCAGAGCTTCTCATTACTGCCTCATATCCCCCTGCCTTGCTGATGTGCATGCTAATAATGCTTATTATGCCTCTTCCTTTTGCCCTAACATGACCACTAAATGCAGGGCTTGATTTCCCAGGCAGTGAGGTGTTTCAATGGGATGGGACTTAGTTCTTCCAGGGTTTGAGGCAGAGGGTTTTTGGTGGCAGAGTGCGTGGCTGCATCCCAAAACACCCAGTTCTAACCTGACATTGGCATTTTACCTTTGTGATAACCACTGTGCCTATCCCATACAAGTGCAACCACGGATGGGTGCAGCTTAGCATCACGCTGGAGCCGCGGAGGATGTGGTCACTTAGTGGTGCACTCACTTAGCTCTGGGTGCTTTTGGCCATGTCATTCTGGGGTGCACGTTGCAGAGTAGGAGCAGGCTTCCATGGCAGAGCAGCCCCTCACTCCTCTACACACCTTAGTGGTATTAACTAAATGAACAGCCCTGGCCCCCTGCCTGGCTTCTGTGAACGAGACTGAGTGTTTGCACAAAAAAGCAAGGCAAGGTTTCTCCCTATGGGGACTGTTGCTGTATGTAACCTCTGAATGTGCACAGCTTTTCAGTATCAGACAGGCTTCACTGGGAGAATTTACAGTGAAACTTGGCTGTGTCATAATTATGAACTCCGTAAACCCAACTCCAGCAAACATCAGCTCCAGAGCTGCTGTGTATGTGTGTATTCTTTACAGCCACCGAGTCCCCTAGCAGTACCTAGTGCCAGAGCTGAGTACAGTGTTGACAATACTGCAAATATCTTCCCTTGGAGCAGACCAAAGGCATGGTCTACGTGTGTGCAGCCCCGGGTGAAATGTGATCTGTCTTTCCTGAAGGAAAAGGGAGCCTTGAGAGGTTTGTGGGGGAGGCAGGAGGTATGAAGGTACCGTTGGCAAAGGATGGGGTGGGTGCATCCTTCCACAGCAAGGTGCGAAAGAGGTTATGAAATCATAAACTGCAATAAGAAAAATCATTCTGGTGAAAGTTTTAATGCCCTGTTTAAATGTGACATCCACTGTGATGCTGCTACTGCTTTTCCACTGCCATTACCATGCTGCTAAAATCCGTTGTTAGCAGGGAACAATGAGCACAGACCTGGCTTTTGGAGGTAGTGCTTATTGTCCATAGGGAGCCTGTTGTTCATTTGTCCCCTGGCACAGCTTGGGCAGAAAATCACCTTTCAGCCCCTCTGCACTGTGGAGGAGAATGTTTGGATTTCTGCCTCTTGCCACTCCTTTCATCTGCCCACAGTAGGAATTGGGGAAGGGTTGAGTGCCCTGTCAGTAAAGGTGATAGCATTTCAACATGCTCTGTCAAGGGGGGTTGTCAGGAGCACGCTGAAAGAAGAAAGGTACTGTTGACCTTACTGCTTTCCTCCTTCTCTCTATCTACTGCTATAGAGAAAAGCACCATTTGCTCTTTCATAAATGTCCCAAGTGCAAGTAACGCCCAGCAGTGAATAGCCTCTAGTATAGCCAGGTTTAATTAAGCTGATTATATCCTCCCTTCCTCCCTTGCATTCAGTGTGATTTAGGTGATAATTCCTCAGTGCTTTTGTGGCCACCACTGAATATCCACTTCCACATGCTGTCTTTGCAAAGGCAGTCACATTTTGCCTTGCAGTTCTGCTTTGTGGGCTTTGTTTCCTTATTCCTTGCATTGCGCTGCGGCAGCAGCCAGACGCGGCAGGCGGATGTTCCCCAAAGCATTCACCCTGCAGTGACAAGTTTATAATCAAAAGCAAAGGAGCAGTGAGTGAGCAACACAGATAAGAGGCAGGAGGTAAGGAGAGTGAGGCTTTAGGGATAAGACAGTTGGAGTGGAGCACGGTTTCAAAGTAATTGGATATGCTAACGCTGGAGTTCTGTGCAGGAATGTACATCTGTTTCTGAACTGTTACCAGCTGATGTGCCCGCTCTTCCTTTCTGCTTCCTTGGTTATAAACCCTCAGAGCAGCAGACATAAGTGAAGGAGAGGCTGACCCGGGGACAGCAAGTCCTATTGCTTGCTAATCCTACCAATAAATGAAGTCAAGGTCAAGGCATGCTTTTGATTTGCAAAGGCATTGCTGGAGCAGCTGGGTGTGCTGATGCCTGCCCTGTGTGGAGCAAGGTGGCAGCTCTCTCCTTGGTTTGATGGATCCATCTGGTTTCCTCAGCTTTGGGCTGGAGGTTGAAAACATGGACCTTTCTAGGAAAGACTTTACAGGTGAATGACAACAAAGAGAAGGGAATAACCTGGAGATTTTTCCCTGCAGAAGCCCCACAGGCCCTTTGACCACCTTCTGTATGAATTGAGCAGTTCCACCCAGGCTTTGACCAATCAAGGTGTGAATTGCAAGGGCCATTTTTTCAGAGTTTGCCTTATTTTCTGTGTAGAATGTCAGGACAAACTCTTTACAGTGTAATAATGATAAATGCAAAGCATAACTTCCAAAAGCAATCCTATGGCAAGTCAGATGGTGAAGACACGCTATAATCCACAGCTTTTCTAACTGAGGCTGGGATTCTGCACAGCACTGGAATCTACCTTGGAGAAGAGAGGTGCATCTGAGCCCTAATAACTTCCGTAGGACATAGGCAGGTGTTCAAAATCATGTATATGCTAAATACAGACCTGAATTTCTGATTTGAAAACCCTCTGAAATAAAAAGAGAGATCTTCAGTGGCTTCAATAGGTTTTGGATCAGGGTCTCAAGCATTAAGCAATCAGAGGGCCAGTTCAAGTCTCCTGGTCATCCAAGCTCCATTGTCAGTAGGACAGGGATAATTTAGACAAGGTACAGTTCTGCCTTGAATGATGGGTGCAGTGTTTCAGGTCTGATTGTTGATTGCTGTCAAGATTAGAAATTTCTGTGTAATTTCTCATGTCAATAACATCGGAAAGAT